TCGATTTATGTCTCAGGTCATGAAGATTTTGGAAGAAAAGTCCTTCAGATTTCACTTTCCCGTCGCTCACTTCCTCCCCCGCTTCCTCTCCGTAATCCAGTGGTTCGTCCTTAATATCCAGACACGTTTCTTCGGTGACCCCAACGTTGGGCTCCTCTTTGATACCGACTCCTCTGCTAAAGAGTTCCAACGGCATCCAATCGGCGAGGAAACTCATTGTTGCTGTGCGAAAGGAAAATAGAAAAGAATAAGAAACAGCATTCCTTGGGAATGGAAGGAGACCAAAGATTTCAGACTGCAATAACATAATTGCTCTTAAGAAAAATAATAAAAACATTAAATGACTAAATGAAAATAACTTGAATTCCAAAAGAAAGATATATACAGACAGCCAAATGTAAAAAAGTTTAAAGAAAAATGTTATTTTCTTATATATATGTACACAAAAGAAAGACACATATAACCACTTACATACACGCTCGCACACTCATATTTACATACATACACGTAAACACACACATATGCACACGCACGTAAACATACACACATGCACCACACACACACACACACACACACACACACACACACACACACACACATATATATATATATATATATATATATGTATGTATGTATATATTATATATATATATATATATATATATATATATATATATATAAATGAATGATATATATGCAAATAATTCAAAAATGTTTATTATCCTTACTATTACTATTATTACGACCTGACAACTATTGCAATATATAATAGCTGCATATATATAATTATTTTAATATATATATATTATATGTATGTTATATAATATATATATATACTATGATATTATATATATTAATATATTATATATATATATATATATCAAACATTATTTACAAATATGAACATATATGTTTCATATAAAACTATACTATCTCTACTTATTACTATTTATTTGCTACTTATGACCTATGGGGAAAATTTATTAAATTTTTAATATAATGTTATATATACAATAATTATATATTGATAATATATTTATAAAGGTTATAATAAAATATATATAACATATATATATTGCAAACATAATTATATATATTAATATATTATATATAGATATATATAATTTGGTATATGTGTAATGATGTGATGTGGTGATGTGTGTGTGTGTGTGTTTATATGTTTGTTGTGGTTGTGTGTGTGTGGTGTGTTAGTGTATGTGGTGTGTGTAATGCAGTAGATTGTAATTTGTGTGTAAAGATATGATATTGTATATATAAGTGTGTGTGTTTGTGTTTGTGTGCTTGTAGCGTCTGTATTTAAAATATCAAATATATAATATAAACTCTATTATATAATATGTGATATATATCTATTAGATATATATATATATATTGGTGGGTGTATGCGTGTGTGGTAAATGTGTGTGTGTCTGTGTGTAAGTGCGTGTGTGTGTGTGTTGTTGTGTGTTTGGGTGGTGTGTGTGTGTTTGTGTTGTGTGGGTGTCCTGTGCATATATAGAAATCTTGCATATATATTAACATGTATATATGTTATTATAATATATACATATACGTGTTTGTGGGGTGTGGTCATGTTGTTCTTGTCGCTTCCTGTGGTCATCGTGTTATGTTATTTGTTGTTATCTTTCATTACAATATCGCTCATCACATGGTATAAATATCACACATATAAATATTACATATAATACATATATCATTAAACATATTGTATATACATGAGTACATATATTATGTATATGTATCTACATTTAGAAATATATCTTTATACATATAGAAAATATGTTTATACATACACATATCTCTATATATGTACATATCTATACATGCATATGTATATAAATATATTCAAATATAATATATATGTGCATGTTTTGATGTTCATATACATATCTGTGTAATGATATGATATACATAAGTATTGTCGTGTCAAATCAATAGTGGATGTGTATTCTTTATCTTATATAATATAAACCACACATATATGTATACTATGTATGTATATATACATATATCTATATATGTGTGTATAATATACTAACATTACATACATACCGTCTATATATCATATAATATATATTTACTTAAAAATACATGAAATTGCACGAGTAATTGCACCACGAATCTCACCTTACGGCTTTCCTCACTTCTCTCCACACAGGTAAGCCTCCTCGCAGCTGATTGGCCTACGCGCGCCTTTTCCTTGGTCGTCAACGCTACGACTCTTCGCTCAAGGGAAGTCTGCTCGACTGGACGAGAGACGAAGGGAGAGGGAAGGACCTGAGGCTCCTTCCCGGGTCCTGGGGATGGGGGAGGGCTGGCCCAGGGATCTGATATGTAGTTAAAGAAACCATTGGTCTTTACACGCCATGGGGTTTTAATTTTTATTTATTTTTTTTTTCGAAAGTTGATATTTGCCTAGAAAATCAAAGTATGTAAAGGTATGCTGGTCATGCGAATTTCTGATTCGCATTCAATTAGTTTTTTTTTTTTTTTTTTTTTTTTTCCCTATATGCTCATGGTGAAGTTACAGAACAAGTTTCCATTAACGATGTGAATGGAAAGCAAGACATGCAGTCCCTTTTACACATGAATATGGAATCTTATCTATATCAACGGTGCATGTCTTGATGTTAAGATATGGAGGATTCCATGAAGGGGTCAAAGGTCAAAAAGGCTTGGGGGTCCCTGGGCTAGCTGTGTAATTTGAAATGGCTGCTTATGATAGTACGTTAATAAGGAGCCTCTCTGAATGTTCCGATTTGCCCTATTTTTATTTAAATCAGTTTCCCAGCACAGGACTGGGTTATTGGTTTAGACTAAAATGGGAAACTAAGTGCATTTTTTTTCTTTCTTCCTCTCTGATATTTTACAAAACCTGAATTTTATTTGTTTTGTTTTATACTAATCATTGTTGCCGTGTTATTGTTTGTTTTTTGTTGTCGTTATTATTGTAATTATTGGTGTTATTATCAATAATATTTATCAGTACAATCATTATTATTATCACACACACACACATATATATTTCATGATCTGTTATATCCGTTTACGACCGTCAACGTTCATCGATTAAACTTCAGAGCGACCCCGACGTTTATCAACCCCTTTCAAAGAATAGGAGTTTATCGGCCCTTTGCAGAGTCGCATTGATCCCCAAGGGGTAACATCGGCCCCCTGGAGACCCCTGGAGACCCTTGGAGACCCCTGGGCTTTCCTCTCCTCATGCCCAAGGCCCTCGAAGGAGACTCGGCTCCCTCACGCTGCCTTCGCCTCTCGGTCGGTCGCGCAGAGATCCCTGAAGCGAAGACTCTTAATAAAAATACAGACATACTTGCGCATGTATTTTTGTATATACATGTATGTGTGTGTGTATTCACACACACACACACACACATATACATGCACATCCCTTCCGCGACGTGTTTCCGCGTAGAGACATTGGACTTTAATTTGCCTTTAAGCTTTTATCAGACTTTTGATAGGAAATAAAGCTTTTTTGTAGTATAGTTCCACAGCCATAATAACAAGCCTTTCATGGGATATCGTACTCAGAAAATTACAAAAAACGAATAACCAATAATTTGAATAAAAAGAAAAGAGCCGTACGAAAGTTGCGCCTTCTTGTTCTACCGGCGAGTCACATACCTCGGGAAACACCATTCGCTCCCCCCCCCATCTCTCTCTCTCTCTCTCTCTCTCTCTCCTCTCTCTCTCTCTCTCTCTCTCTCTCTCTCTCTCTCTCTCTCTCTCTCTCTCTCTCTCTCTCTCTCTCTCTCTCTCTCTCTCTCTCTCTCTCTCTCTCTCTCTTGGATACTCCAGCGAGTGCTAGCAAAGATGTGGTCGATCTCTTTGGCCACAGTAACCGTAGCACTATAACAAGTCCACCTATGCGGGTTGCAGCGCTGATAGCAGAAGCTAGATATCCTCAATCTCTGGGATCAAGCAAAGTCCCGGGGAAGGAGGCTGTTCTCGCCGCTGTGATCAGCTTCCGAGCCACGAGGACCGACAGACGTCTCAGAGCCAGCTGGATCACAGCCAAATACCGTACAGTGCGAATGTCTTGCTGGGACATTTGCCTTCCATTTTCTTTTGCTTCGAGTTTACAAAGAAAAGTAGGATATATATATATATATATATATATATATATATATATATATATATATATATATATATCGATAGGTAGATAGATAGATATATTATGAGAGAGGGAGAGAGAGATGAAGGTATATATTATGTATATCTATGTATGTATATACATTTATGTGCTAATATATACATATATATGTTTATATATATTTATGCATACATATATGAATATATATGAATATATATATATATATATATATATATATATATATATATATATATATATATATATATATATATATATATGAATATATATTATATATATATATATAATGTTTATATATATATACATGAATAGATACATATATTTACATACATATACATACATAGACATATATACATATATACATATATATACATATATGTGTGTACATATATATACATATGTATACATATATATGCATATCTTTGCATACATATACAAATATACATATATATACATACGTATATATATGTATATAAATGTTTGTATATATTATATATAGAAATATATGAATATATATATATATATATATATATATATATATATATATATATATATATATATATATATATATATATATATATATATATATATATATATATATATATATATATATATATATATATATATATATATATATATATATATATATATATATATATATATATATGCGTATATATTTGTAGATATTTATGAATACATACATATATATATATATATATATATATATATATATATATATATATATATATATATATATATATATATATATATATATATATATATATTTACATACATATACATATATTTATATATATAAATATTTATGTATATATATCCATATACATAC